ACACACACACACACACACACACACACACACACACACACACACACACACACACACACACACACACACACACACACACACACACACACTCCCCACTGAGCCAGAGCCTCTGCCAGAGACAGGTCTATGGGTCTATTGAGGGGACTGGGAGGGAGCTGTCCCTTTCTGTAGAGCTAATGAAGCCTGGATCCCCAAACATAAAGGAATGGAGAGAGTTAGTATTGCGCTCCTACACCCATTCACTCACTTCCTTCCTTTACACATCTCCTGATGAGGTAATGCTGTCTCTCTTAAAGGGATACCGTAAGTAACGCACCTTTAGTCGCACAACGAACGCATCACGCCAAGATATGTGCTCCTATGAGCTTGCACAGGAACAGGCTGAGAGGGTTTAGCACAAATAGTTCTTAATGAAGATGTTCATTTTTATAAATTCACATCTACCTTCACCGGCCACTTTGTTAGGTGCACCTTGCTAGTAGAGGGTTGTCTTTTTCCTTCAGAACTGCCATCACTCTGGGTGGCATAGATTCAACAAGGTGCTGGAAATATTCCTGAGATATGTTGATCTATATTTACATAATAGCATCAAACTATTAGATTGAGATCTGTTGACTGTGGAGGCCATCTGAGTGCAGTGAACTCATTATGTTCAAGAAACCAGATTGAGATGATTTAGTTTTGTGACATGATGCGTTATCCTGCTGGAAACAGTCAGGTTAAAGGGTGTGCCATGGAAATATCCCCTAGACTATCACATGATCCATGCTTGTGGTTTACACCAAATTCTGACTCTACCATCCGAATGTCATGGCAAAAATAGAGAGACTCATCAGACAAGATATGCAAGGTTGTAAAAAGTTATTAACTTACTCTTGCCTTCCTATCAGCTCAAAGCAGTATGACATCTGGCATAAACAAGGCATTTTCACCCAGAGAACTGCAGCTCACTTGATATTTCTCTTTGTCAGACCATTCTCTGTAAACCCTAGAGATGGCTGTGTGGGAAAATCCCAGTAGATCAACAGTTTCTGAAATACTCAGAGCAGGCTGTCTGGCACCAACAAGCATCTCCCCCATTCTGATGTTCGGTTTAAACTTCTACAGCTTGTCTTGACTACATCGAAATTCCTAAATGGACCAAGTTGCTGCCATATGATTGGCTGATTTGATTATTGTGTTAATGAGCAGCTGAACAGGTGTACTTAATGATCTGTATATAGTTGCAGTTTTCATCATCAGCTGGTCACTGGTTTTTGGCAAGTGTTAATCTAACAACAGTAAATACAGTTTTTTAGGGGACTAATCAGATCTGGATTAATACTCATTTTTAACATGGACATTGTAGATGTTCTTTTAAATCAGAAAACATTTCACAACATTTTTTTTTCATAGTTTTGGACAATAATGAAGAAAGAAATTCCTGGCATGTGAATAAACGGTCTAAACCAGAGGACTCTGGATTTCCTCCATCATGGAAATGTGGAGTCTTGGTACAAAGCTGCAGTCAGTCAGCAAGAAACAAAGACAGGCACCACACTGGAGAGCCTGAGACCAACATGTCACTCAGAGAAGAAATGTCCCAGAGAGCAGAGATGTGGAGAGAAAAGGCTTCCAGACAACACAATCACACTTTCAGCAGGGGAGGTCTGACTTTAGGCGGCCTGTCTATCTGCCTGTCTGCTACTCTGCTGTGACTACAAGATGATGAAGGAGCGCTTGTCCAAGTCTACGCCCAGTCCTCTCTGAACAACCACACTGAGCTAATAATAGACGGCAGTGCTTATCAAACAGTCTCAAAACTTCATTTGCATCTTGCAAGACCCAGACAACAACCAGAGAGGCCCTACACACACACACACACACACACACACAGTCATGAACCAGACAACCCCTTCACTGGCCTTGACCCATGAACTCTAGGGTCCTCTTTCACCTGCTACGACAGCATTCATGCTCCCGAGGCTGTCTCGCCGGCAGCCGACTGTTCTGCATATCTGCTCGCTAGATTCCCACGCTCCGAGCTCAGACCTCCTGCACGGAGGACAATCACACTTTAAATACGGCTGTATTCATACAGGTAATTATGGAGATCAGTATTGTATCTGTGTCTGACTGTCTGACATTTGTGGGCCTCATGCACTGTCTTCACAGCTCAGTGCATACTATGGGGGGGTGGCGAGCTTTCCTTTTCCCTTCTTCCCTCTCAAATTGATCAGTCTGACTGGCACACACACAAAAAACCCTTTGATTCAGCACAGCACGGCGATCATGTATATTTCTAATAAACGTCTGTATTCTTTCACCATAAAACTTGGTCCGCTATCTTGCAAAGCGCTGGTCTCCTGTCGCCATTCCCCTTCCCACTATCCTCTGCATCCCTCTGTTTTGCTTGTTCCCTCTTCTCCAGCACATCAAGGGTAAACTCATGACTCGCCTCGCCTTTCTTTCCTCTTCCTGACTCTTTGCCGTTTGTCATTGGCTGAAAGCAGCTCCACATTGGCTGGACAGAAACGGTGATGCAACGAACACGAGGCTCCTGTGTAGTAGGGGTGTTTACGTGTTTTTTGTGAGAAACGGGCTCTGAGCGCGCGTCTGCTGCTCTCCCACAAATAATGTGACCGCCAAACACGGACGGGCGCAACACTCTCTTCTCTCGTGTGATCATGCGAGGGAGACCTTCAAAAGACTGTGACTGAATTTGCCTCGCCGCGCAGCATATGGGCAGCCTCGCCGTTCTATGCAAATGGCCGAAATGCAGACAAATCTGCACAAATGCAGACAAACTAAACTCCCCCCACCACCACCCTCCAGTGTCTCATTAATGGTTTCTCCTAAAACCAGACGCCCCCCTCATCAAATAATAACCTCTCCACTTACACCCCCGCCCCAACTCCATCTTCCCCTCCTGTGCACACCCCGCCAATCCCATCCTACAGTCTAGACCCCACAACCCTCTCCCAAACCAGACACCCCAAAATCTCCCCCACCCCAACCAACCCCAACCCACCCCCACGCCTCCTCCCTCTTCTCTCCTCAGCTCCCACGACCAGCAGACAGACCCTATGATTTGCGTGACCGCCATTTTGCTGCCCACAGTAGACCTAACTGTACTGGCGCAGCAGCAGCTGCCTTGATGGGCAAATGCAAATGCGAGCGCCGCATTGTTGCTTGAATTAACGGCCCCACCACCACTACCCCCCAACACCGAAAAACAAGACCTGCTTGATCAGATGCGACTACACAATGACGCAGTGCCGTAACTGTAATACAGAAAACGTGACATGTTCATTTACACAAAGCGGCTGCGAGGAGCTGTGCAGAATGCTATTATGCATGGTTACGGGATCAAACGCATTCTGTATCCCCCCCCCCCGATTTTATAAAAAGGTGCATTTCCAAAGTCTCAAATAGGTGCAGCTGAGGCGTCTCCCGTTTTTCATGCGATACTTCAAAGCTACAATCCGCCAGTCTTCAGGCGGCAATTTTTGTGCTGCGGCCTATTTATATTTTTCATCTGCAGCTCTTTTCTAGCAAAATCAGTCACCCCATGATTTGCTCAGTGCCATGGTAACCAGACACCCATGTGCATGAAAATGAGACTATTATGGTCTGTGTGTCTGGAGTTTGTTGGGCCTATGGATCCCTACTTAATTAGAGTCTGTGTGCATGTCTGAGCCTCTCTGTTTGCTTAATGCTTTCATCTGTGCATTATGTATGTCTGTGTGTAAAAAAAAAAAAAAAAACCCCAACTGCGAGTGTGCATGCGTGACAGAGCGCGATCTGATTAAACAAAGCCCCAGCTTAATCTTTTGTACAGTGTCACATTTGCATGCGAGGGAATCACATGCAAGCAAGCGCACCATATGGCACAGTATGTCTAGACAGTTGATCTAGCATGGACCGAACACCTATCAAACACATTTCTGGGTGCGAATACTCGCACCTTGAAAGAAACTCCCCCCCACCAAAACCCAAAAAGAAACGGCATGGAGTACGCTTTAAAACATCACTTCGCTCCTGCTCGCTTGTCGCCAACGTGCGCCTTCGTAGGATCAATTACCAGCTCATGCCGACGACGTGATGTTCGGAGGTTATGCAAATGCAATTAGCCTTGATTTGCATTCGACGACAACAGCTAACCGACGCACAGATGGCAGACAACGGGGATGCACTCGCCATTTTTTGGCAGAGGGAAAGACTGGCGGCCATTTTGTCTGAAGCTGTGCCCATCTGGATGGAAACAACCACGCCGCATTACTGTGACGACGACAGCAGTTTGGGAGATGTGGGTGCACACTGCTGCTGCTGCTCGCAGCTCAAACACTCAAGGCCAAACATATACAGTCCATTTACACACACACACACACGGCTCTGTGATGTAGATAAGAATTATACAGCGAGAGTACAGATTGAAAGCACGAGTGGCATCTTATAATTAAAGAAACACCTCTTTTTTTTCACAGCTGTAATCCTAAATCGGCCTCAAAGGATGCCGAGTTACCATCTCTCCCTGTCACAGGCTATTTTAGGCAATGTGTGATGTAATGACAGCACATTCAGAGTAGTTCATAGAGTGGAAAATGTGAAGTGCTAAAGAGAGATACTTGCCATTTTACCATCTCCACTACAAGGTCTCTCTGCTCTATGATCTCCAGCCCTCTTTGCTGTTCAGTCAGTTTTTTTTTAAACAGTCTGAAATTGAATAATAGACATCATGGAGAAAAAAAAAAGCTCATACTTCGTGTGCCAGTATTTCTTGTTTGAACAGACACGTGTCTACAGCTCACCATAGTAACAGCAAGCCAAGCGAGTGGTGGAGAAAATAAAGATCTGTCTCTTTGTCAAATGTAAAAACTAGTTGGGGGAATAAACAACGGGCGAGTCGAGGATGGAGAATGAGTCAAAAGTAGAGCTCCCGAACTGTGTTTTTTTTAATTTTTTTTATCAGCCTGAGGCAGGAGGTTGGGGGGATACGTCAATCTTATGATGGAAAAAAAAGGCAAGAGAAAGGAGCATCCCTCTTGGCAGTCTTTCAACGTTCTGGGCATTGGGTATTATTTGGGGAGAAATCCCCTTCAGCAGAACCACACACACAGCCAGTGGAGATTGGGACTGAGGTCCAGTCCAAGGAGCCAGGGCTGCAGCTGAGAGAACCACACAGGACCTGTCTTTTGGAGGTCTGCAGGCCCGTAGGCCACACACTTAAAACACAGGAAACCCCACTCAGAGCTGTGAAGGTTTTCTGTTTCATATTGATTTCTCCTGCATGCCGGTAGCTCCAGAGGTGATCTGAGCCTTTGGGGACCTTCTCCATCCTTCCCGGCCCACTCACTAGCTCCCCGCCTGGGCTTCACTGGCTCTACTGGACCCCTGGATGGAGGTACAAGCCACAGGAGGAGAGGAAGAAGACAAGAGCCCATGGCAATGATGATGAGCTGCGCCGGGTCTCTGAGTTCAGTCATCCAGCAGCCTTTATCCAGCCTTCCAACCACCCACCCTTGTTTCCATCTGAAAAAGGGAAAATAGAGAGTGTTTTTCAAAATCTCACCTTTGGCATTCAGCATCCCTCTGCTCAATGCAAATGCAAATGCAAACACTAACACTTTGATTAAAAATACGTGGGAAGAAAACGCCAACTTGCTCTTTTGTAACCCGCCCCAAGGCTCCCACTGCTGTACAGAAACGAATAAAAATTCTCAACATGCTGTATGAAAGACAGAAGCATCAATTTCTGTTCGTTTTTCTAAAATGTTATGCACAAATATGAATTTTTCACGTTAAAATCATTTACATTTAACCTTAACCGTGAGGAATTATTAACAACAGTACCAATATGCATGTAGAAATATTATAAAAGTATTCTGAAACCTGTTATCATGCTAATACGCTATAATCCTTTGTGCTTCTTTGTTCTTTTCTTTAAAAAATAAGAATTGAAGGAGCCTCCCCGAGTAACCTGCACACACTGGCCCTAGTTTCTATCAGCTGAGAGACTCAGCTCGGTGTGTTCTCCTGGAAAACGATTAACACAGTTATAGCCAGTCATGGGATAGTTTGCTAGGGAATTTAAGTTTGCAGTAATGTGCGTGTTTTCATCATAAAATGGAAGGAGCAACGGGAGTAGCCCAGCGAGCCGGAGGAAGATTCAGACACAATGCAGCCATTGAGAGAGTTCAGACATGGGTGTTAACTCGCCATTCCTTCACACACAATAGGGGCCCCCACTACAGCCAGCATAGGGCACAATGTTGGTTCAGGGCAGCCCTCCACCCAGTGACAAAGAAAAGAGCTGCATTATCAAGATGGGAGGAGAAGGAAGGGTGAGGGGGTGCAGGAGGAGAGAGACAAACAGGAGATTGAGGGATATTTGTGTATGAGGAGGAAGGCAGAGAAGCAGAGGGGAGGCCCTGCGACCCATGGCTTTGGACTTGAGGAACAAAACAGCGAGACGTCACCAACGTCAGCATCAGACGTTCCATCTATTTTCCATCCCGCTCGCATGTTGTCAATTTTATGAGCGAGCACCGTGAAGAAGCTATTCGCGCATTTACAGTGGTGCAAAATATGATGTGGGAAAAGCAAAGACTACTAACAGATGGTTTATTCCGAATCCCATGAAACGACTTTCAAAGCATGAATTAAAGACGCCACATTAGAAATATTTGTGCTAACTGATATTTTGCAGTGTGCAATTTACTAAGGATGCCTGGTTCTGTATTTCATTTGTAGGAGAATTAATGAGGACAAATAATAGCGTGATTCAGCCTCTGCTTCGGAGCGGTTAATATGTAGAACATATGTTCTTCTTGTTAGTTAATCGCTGTGAAGAAGAGCCTGGAAAGAAGCAGATCTGTCTTTGATCACACATATGTGGTTATGGGGTTTGTCTAGTATATTATTTAAATATAAATAATGCAATTTTTTTGGGTTCCTGTCAAAAATATGCTTGGGACATTTTCAAGAAATAGATGGAGCCATACTGAACAAACCACACATAGCCAGTACCAAGCCAGGATAGCAAGCTGTATTTTGGGGATTTGCAGACTATTATATTATATTATATTATATTATATTATATTATATTATATGCTTGGTGGATCCATATTAACGTACCACAAAACTAACGCAAAAGTTCTTTAATGGTTTCGTATTATGGGCTTCTCTTATTCATGTTTTTATTTTCTTTCCTTTTTTTAACATCTATTGGACAATAAAGTAGAGAATAAACAGGAAAGTAGGAGAGAGAGCAAGAGGGTTGACAAACAGGAAAGCATTCAGGGTGGAACTGAAGCCAGACCTCTGCAGTCTTTTGGTATACGTGTTCAACCAAAGCCATAGAGGTGCCTCATTATTCAGGTTTTCAGTGGCATGCTCTGGTGATACATACTAACCCAGCAAACAGTTTGTGCATTCTTTTTTTTTTCAAATAAAACACATTACTGAGTAAAATGTACACTTCACTTTACATTTAACATATAACTGCAACGCCCCTCGTCTGTTTTTGACTGGTGACCTTATTTCCACATTTCTTCCACCGTGTCCCTGTCAGACTCTTCATACAAATTTTACCAACTGGTAATAAAAGCAGCAGCATTTTTGATGCAGGTGCATTTTAACTACATCCAACTCCACCCCCCCCCCCTTTTTTTTTTTTCATTGGATCTGAAGGACCAAATTGTTTGCCTGCTTTTGTTTGTTCCAGTGAAACTCAGAGATGAATTTGATGTACAGTATGTGCATGAAATGAAGGACATGGGAATTTAGCTGCACTTTAATGGCTTCATATTTGCAGCAGAGAGCAGGAATCACATCATCTCCAACGACTTCAGCATTTTTGAAACATCTTTAGTGGTCATCCAAAGACTGTATAACAAGCATTTGCTCGTTCTGAGTTGCTTGTTATACACTCTGCATGGTTGTAAGGGAGCACTGTTTTGGGAGTGAAGCTGACAGCGTTAACAATCCATTGGTAATGTAGGTGTAAAAGCTTTTATTCTACCTTCCTTTTCCCAGACAGGTAAAAATCTCCTGCAAAACAAAGGGGCGACTTCTGCTTAAAATGTATAAAGGAAACTATCAGTTTGACAGTGTTTAAGGCCAGCAGGCTGTATAGGTGGTGACGAGGTAGTGGGGCTGGGGGTGGAGGAGTAGTTGGAAAATGTTTATGGAGATCCTGTGTCTCTCTGGGAGCCTAATAGGATCCCATGGCTGGAGTGAGAGCTCATTGTGCCAGTGTAAAGGATTACACTGCTAAACTGGTAAAACAGGGGAAAAAGCCCAAACACTCTCTACCTCCTATGGAGAGGCAACGAACCATCCAACAATGAGAGGGGAGAGTATACTGGGAGCTGACTCATTTCATCAACAGAGAAAGCGACCCAAGGAAAGGGAAGTATCGGAGGAACTGTGACAGAGGGGGGAAAAAGACCGGGCAGTTCATTTAGCTGTATGTACAGAAACAAAAGTGACTGCAAATGGAGGGAGGGATGACAAAAAAAAAACAGAAAGGAAGGGGCAGGGGGGCTGCTTGGATGACAGTTTCAGTATTCGAGGGTAAAATGGGCAAATGATGTCTGTCTTGCTTGTCTGTCTGCATCCTGAGTGACAGTTTACAATCTCTGAGGCAGCAGGCAGGCCCAGCAGGTCGGCTCTTTGGCTCCATACAATCCCTCATTTCCTAACCTATTTTTTCCTCTCTCTGCCGTCTACCCTCCACCTTCAGCTCTCGTCTGTTTCCAGCTTTTTCTAATCTCCTCCACTCTGCCACCACAGCCACTACCTTCACTCTGCATATATATATATATATATATGTATGTCTATGTGTATATATTTTTTTTTTATTTCCACAATTTTTTAGTTTTGAATCATTACGTTGACTGAGCCTTCCTTCGTTGTTTCTTTCTGACTTCACCACAAAAAGACTAATACTCTGCAACAATAATGCCCTCTCCTCTTTATGGAACTAGCTTGCAGGCTTTTTCTTGCCCTTTGACGCAAACGATGACCTGAATCAGTCCCTCTCTGCACCTGCCTCACATTCATCCAGTAACTGTTTACAGCCGACTTTCTTGGAGCTACGATCATGCTGAACTGGTAGATTAATTTTCAGCAAACATTTGCTTGCTTTTGGATTCTCTGCTCGCTTTAGTGTCTTATATAAATATATATTTGTTAAAAATCCCCAAAGGGTTTTTATTTTCATCGCAAAATTTGAAAGCACAGGAAATCCTCCGAACATCTGATGAGCATGATGACCCAGCATATTTCCTGCAGTTTTCATGTAAAGCACACACATACAACATTATTCTCATCTCATTTGCGGTTCAAATGGAAACCACGCCGGGCACAAATGCATCATTTGCATCCTGCAACCTGCCAGGCTGACAGACTCCTCTCTCTCTCCTCCTTCGCTGTCTTCATCTCTTCCCTTCCTTCAAAGGCTGCTGAGGATGTATTCAAACAGCAGGATACACACTCAGCTAACAAACCTCATTAAGGGCCCATACACACTTTCTCAATGCTTACACTAGCTGTCACACATCCTCTCTCAATGCACACACTGGTGGCCACACTGACCACGACAAAGCATCTTTACAGAGCTAATTAGAAGGGTCCCCCTCTCTATTTGAAACTCATCTGAATAGGAGGGAACATGATAATGAGGAGGGGAGGACGAGATAGAGGAGGGAGGGACAGTTGGGGTGAAAAAGGAAAAAAGGGGCGAAGGAGAGAGAGGGAGAGAGGATGCATGGTAATTTATTTGCGGAGATGGTGGGCATGTTTTTTCGTGGCGTGGAATTAAAGCGAGGAGCCCGTGCAAGCAGGGGGAACCGAATTAGTGTGACACTGCTCAGAAGCAGCGACGGAGACGAACGGGGAGGGAAGTGAGTGCTGCACCATTTTGATTGGTGTGCCAGTATCTGGAGAGAGAGATAGAAAGAAGCCATGGGTGGGACCCTAGCTTCATCGGGAAGGAGGTAAAAAGAGCAGCCGCTGCCACGGACGGCATTTCAGAGAGGTTTACATGAACTCATGATCAAACTAACTGACACATGTAACACAAAATGTGGGGTAAAGAGGCACCAGATGATCACCTGAATTAAAGGGAATTATTTTCATTCCTTTTTCTGATTATAATTATTTATCTGTTATTCATCAGATAACATTTTGTATTTACTGAGGGACAAAACGTCGCATTGAGGTTAAGCTCTAAAATGATCCTCAAAAGCTGCTTCATCTCTCTGTAAACTTTTCCCCATTTGTGCTTTTTTCCCCTTTTGTTTCTCTGAAGCATCTCTCTCTTTGTGCGTGTGTGTGCAGACAATGCCAAGTTGACAGTTAAGGTCTCAGATCAAGTTTGTCTCTGGAGCCTGTGTGAGTGGACATATCAGAAGCTGCACAAGAGCTCTATCAGAGCTTTCCATCATAGTAAATAAAATAAAAAAAGCTTTTTAAAAATATTAGAATTAAACTACTCGAAAACAAACAACGATCAAACAAGATCACAATGTGAGTATGAAGGGAAAGAAAACCAGGCTCCCTTCAATGCTCAGCAGAATTTTAAGTTCAAGTTGAAGTTATGACCTAATTGTTCTCTCATCAAGGCCCAGTGGCCCCTTGATGGGAGTGCAAAGCATTCTGGGAGAATAGCAGGTGTCCCCGTGTCGCAGAGCTTCCCAGACAGCTTGTTAATTTGCACAACTTTTACAAATTAACAAGCTCTCTGCTGTATGTGTGTGTGCATGCGTGTGCATGTATGTGTGTATATATTAGCGATGGGACTTGACCCTAGCGAGCTGCGGCAGTGTTTCGCGTCTTGCTGGGCGTGGGAAAAAGACGGGACCCCTTTTCACAGCTGCCTGGCCGAGGCCTGGGCTGCTGGGGGCCCCTTGTACCCCCCCTTCAAGAATCCCCCCCAACACACACACACACACACACACACACACACCATCCCTTCTCCTCCTTCTATCCCATTCAGGCTCCAGCCTACTGGCTTTCAAAAGCAGGACCCCCTTCCCAGCCCTTCATAAATACATCTCATTATTCAAGCCCTAGTTTGCATAGGGATTCCAAAGAGATCTCCACTCTGCTCGCGAGGCCTGAAGCCTCTCAGCCTTTTGGACCGCACAAGTGCAAATTTCGACTTAGTAATCTCCCTGTGTTAATATTTGTTTTAAAACGATGTGCGCACACTTTCAAAATTCTTTTACCAACATTGAAACGCATATTTTTTCCCTTTCTTTCTTTCTTTTTTCTTTTCTTTTTCTTTTTAGTTTTTGCATCTGACTTAAAATTTCTAATTTGTCTCAGAAATTATGGAAAAATCTGTAGAAACTAAAGCCAGTGAAAAGAGAGTTTAGCATGACTATTAGCAAGTGCTTGTCTGTGTTCCATCTGCCACAGGCTATTGTACAGTACCACACACACACACACACACACACACACACACACACACACACAGACACTCTCACACACACACACACACACTCACACACACACACACACACACACACACACACACACACACACACACACACACACACACACACACTTCAGACCCTGTACAATACCACCCCCCACCCCCATTCACCATTCACTGCAATGCATTACTGCAGAGATTTATCTCCTATCAGCCTGTATAATACTGAGGTTATAATTTACATCCACTTTAGAAAACAGCAGCACAGGCCGCTCCTTGCATATGCTAATGTAAAGCTTGGGAAAATCTGGGCGATTCAAAGAACTCCATCCTAAATTTGAATAACTGAGCTTTCCATTGAGCTTCAAGGTTGTGGAACCACGAAGATTTGACCTTGCTAACAATATGTACTTACCGTTTAATTCCTTATTCTCGACTATTTAAGAGGGAATTGGAGGGAACGCTCTGACGGCCTTAAAGCCAGGAATGTTTCTGTTTCCATCTTTCTCCAATAACTGCAATTATATCATTTTTATTTTTTTTTTGGTTATGTTTCTCAGCAGCCTTAAAATGATCTATTTTTTCAATAATCTTTAACCTTATGAGTCACTCTACAGTTTTCACTTAATGCTGCTGCTAAAACCGAATTATGCATATGCTATAGCTTTATGCTGATCGATGCTTTGCTCCCAGCAATCAGAGATTTTTGGATGAAGGGGAGGGTGGCTCATCAAGGCATTAGGGGCAAAAAGGACAGAGCCACCCAAACACTCTTTCCACATGAGCAGGTCCAAACCTTGGGTGAGCCCTACGCCTCCGCTCTCCTAACGGGATAAAGAACCGCAGCAAAGATTACACGGCAACCTCCCCTGCACCTACCACACACTCCACCTGACAAATAGGATCATAGTGTTTAAAGGGATAAAACGCTGAATGTATGAGAATGAAAAGAGAGTTGTGAGTGCGTGCATGCGTGTGTGTCTAAGTGTGAGAATGATGGAGAGGAAAGGGGGGAGGAGGGGGTGATATACGACGTAAAAAATGTTAATACTTCAAAGGAAGAAAAGAAATGATGGAATTCAACATGGAGGTCCTACTTCACTCGCTTAGATCGGGCCATTTGCACTCTCTCATAGCTGCAGGCCACAGTCTACGGCTGTTACAACCTGTATGCATATTCCTGCATATATGTGAAAGGTATAAAACTGACATTTACACAAAATAAAAATGGCAGTAAATGTGTCTCCTAATGCCCCTTTTGCTTTGAAAGGGTTTATGAGAATTACAGCAGAGCAACACACTTAAAAAATCACATTTGATACTAAATAATAAAAATAATATATATATTTTTAAGTATTTCAAAATTCAGGCTTAGTCTGTGTCTCTTTCTGGCTTTTTCACACCCACACACAGCCCACTATGGTCACACAGCTCAACAAAATATGGACAACAATCAACCACCAGCAAAGCTCCATCGCTGGCTGATGAATCTAGATGCAAAACTTTCTGAAAGCCTCCAGCATCTTCTGGTTTGACCTCTTGGATTCACTCTTAAAGCTACCCAAGCTGCATAAGACAAAAAGATGCACGCTTGCTTCTGCGCTTCGCAACCCTGTCGTGGGTTGTTACCGATATGGAAGCAAACAACGTCGGCGTTCATCATGCACGTCTTCCTATTTTGTGTATTCACCTGCAGGCTGATTGCTGCTCCTCATCTTGTCTGGTGGCAGCTTGACTTCATTGTGAGGTGATAAATAAGGGGCTGAAATTCCCAGCATTTTTCTTCAAAGATAAAAGAAAGGAAAATCAATTAGCAGTGATTTAGAGGCAGTGGATGAAAACACGAGGCAGGAGAAGAAAGGAATGCATTGTGTTTGTTAACCATACAACTAAGATCAATCTCTAAAACTTGTTTACTTCCTTGTATTTTTCCTCTGTGCACTTTACATTATTTTGCCTCGTTGCAAGGTTAAATCTATTTTGTGCTGCGCATACTGTAAACTATAAATGTAAGATGTCATGGACAAGTTACACAAAGTATTTCTAGTGAAGGAACTATACCACAAAGCAAAGCTATGCATGATGTTTTATCAGCACTGCATCACAGTTGCTAAGCTACGGAAATGCAGAATGAGACATAAAAAAATAGCGCATAAAATAACAGGAGAGTAGGTTAGAAATTTTTAAAGAACATCACAGAAAGACTCATATGACATATTAATCCCTTTTTTGGGCATAAATGGAGAACATGGAGGTCAAATCGTGTATACTTCCTCAACCAGGCAAATGTCAACAACCCAGATGCACAAACATGGACACACACACACACACACACACATACCATTTGAGCTGTCTTGTCTAACGGCGCACATCAAATATTGTCAGTCATGGTCTAAATAGAGCATGCAGGGACTTCAGGGATATTCAGTCATCTCTGAGGCTCGCTGATTCTGCTCTAAGAATAGATCAAACTCTGAGCCGATGTCCTATTTAGTTCTTATCTAACAGGCGAACACAAAAATAATCCACCCTGCGAAACACAGATTCAAACATATCTGCCTCATCTAACTTGGATTTGAGTCGAAAGCCTGTTCAAAATACACTGAAGAGGGCCGGGTACAGCCCAGTCTCTGAATGACTGATGCGGCGGGATGTTGATGTGTTGCACCTGCAGGTTCTGGTTGGGTAGCAAAGAACCAAACAACCCACAGTTATGTGATGGAAAAACACCGATAGCAGGTAGCACACAGCAGTTCAGTCCTGCACTTTCTCCCAAGTACTCCACTAGCTGGGCTTCATCTTGCACACCGAGTGGTGTGCATGTACATCCAATTATACATCACACTCCTAATGTCAAGTTAATTACAGCCAGGGGACATCACTTAGGCTACACTGCTCATACAGGAAATACACTTGGAGTATTAGAGGAGTCAGAGAGTCTGCAGGATGCAGCTCTGCAGGATAAATTCACACTGTGTAATTATGCCTTGAAATGCAGGCTACAGCAACTTCTGGGCCTACAACACATTGCCATAACTAACATGTGAGATCTCAGAAAGCGATCTGATGCTGCTGGTGCTGCCAACACCGTCACGTGAGCTCTGGATTGGCCAATCATGTGAAGCCTTTAACTATTTCTGTCTCACCCCTCAAGATATTACTGTTTTAACACCCACACAGTTGTGACAACTACACACTAGCATGCGGTGTGGATTTGGAGAACGATTTCTCCACATGCGTGTCTCCCTCGTGCCTCAAAGTTGAACGAAACGCTGATATATTGATGCCCAACAGGCCCCTGCATCACCGCGATACCCACGCCACGAGCCCCCCCCCCCTAAAAAAATACAGAAGCAACATTCACGCCCTCGCAAGCTCCAGAGAGCCAGCAGCTCTGCACAAGAGGTGGACTGCCACAGCTACAATCACGCAGGTGCTGTTTTCCACCCGCCCCTTCCACCACTCCTCCTCAGCGGCGGCAGCCGCGGCGGTCAGCCTCCCTCAGCATCCGTCCCTCCCGCTTCCTCCTGCTGTTGCCCGCCCCGGCATCGTTTCCTCCTCCTCCTCCTCCTCCATGCCGAGCGAGAGGACCCCGCGGCTCCGAAGTGCTCGGCGTCAGTTCGTACTTTCGGTTCTCTAGCTTTATGAAATTAAAACTCATACAGCTAGATAACCAAAGACACAAACTAACCCGTCGTCTCTTAAAGGGGCCGCCTCTCCGACACACGGGAGAAAACAGAGGGCAGAAAGAGAGAGAGGGGGGGCAGAGAGAGAGAGAGAGAGAGAGAGAGAGAGAGAGAGAGAGAGAGAGAGAGAGGTCTCATGTGGTCTCATTGGACTGAGAGATCCTCACACAC